AGTTGCAGGGGGGGGCGCCCTCATATGTTAATTCGCAGCAGCTGATTGAAGGCCACGATGGCAGATGTGCGCACGGGCACACTCACCTCGACGCCTCAAGTGGCTGCATATTGGCTCTTGCCGACGCCCGCCTGACCCACTCCTCGACGCTGGCTTTGGCCGCCCGAGCGAGAGACAGGCTTGGTGGGAGGAGGCACTTTGTCCATTTAACCCAGTCTGCGGCCAGTCCCCCTCGCCTAGGCCTCGGGAGTCTTTGGCCCAGACCCCTAGCAGCATTAGTAAAGCGGTGTGGGCACGCGCCGATCCCGCTCGAAACTTCGCGTCGCCCCCACGCACACACACACACACACACACACACACACACACCACCCCCTGGAGAAGCTCAATTTTCATTGAAAGTAGAGACCATCAACTGAACAGCCTGGTCGTCTCTGCAGAAGTGGCTTCCTCATTGCACCTCGCACATCATCCTGTTGCAGGAGCACCACCTTCGTCAAGGGGACGAAGCTGAGCGTGCTTCTTCTTGGGCGAGGGTTCATGGGTGGCAAATCCTCCTCACGCCTGCCCTCCCCACCTCCGCTGGTGGGACGTCGGCTGGCCTTGGAATCATGGTTCGTGATTTTCTCGGCCTCCGCCCCCCGCCAGGAGGACATGTTTTGGCCCCGCACAGGGCGGTAGGTGCGATAGTGAACATCCCAGGAGGCGATGCCATGTACGTCTCCAGCCTCTACCTCTACCACTCCCAGGGGCTCAGCGACATGAATGTTGGTCGTCTGTCTCATGTGGCTGCTGCGCTTGAAGCCTGGGCTGGGCCGCACATTCTTGGGGCTGGTTTTAACATGGAACCGTCAGTTTTCCAGGAGTCCGAGTTCGCCAGGTCCTGTGGGGGACGTGTTGTGGTTCCTGAGGCCGCTTCTGGATCCTGTTTAGTCTCTGGAGGGCTGCGCCTGCTCGACTATGTTGTGGTTGCCAGTGGGTCATCCAAAGGGTTATCTAAAGTGCTCGTCGAACATACGGCATGCACGTCGCCGCACCCGCCCGTCTCTCTGGAGTTCTATCCGCAGCTGGCGCAGTTATATGGTCTGAAGTTCCGACGACCCCCCCCCCCCCCCCCCTATCCCTGTGGACCCCATCATTGGACCACCACCGCAGCCTCCAAGTTGGGAACAAGCGAGGACCCTAGGACAGCAGCTCTTGGAGGCCGTTGACTCTGGGAGAACTCAGCCTGTCCAGAAGTTGCTTGATGCGGTCTATTCCTCTTGGGCCAACCTTTCTGAGCGCGAGTTGGCCAGCTCGCGAGGTGCCAAGCCGCCGCGCCTCGGGCCTCGTGGCAAGGCCCCGCAGATGCATTGAGCATTGGTCCTTGAGCAAGACAGGAGACCGCCTGTGCGTCAACCAGTCTTCTATGCCATCAGGTGGTTGCACCTTAAGTTCAAAATGTACGCCTGTCTGCACAGTGACTCCACAGGCGCCGCCGCCTTGCAGCAGGCTGACGCGGTGAAGCGTTTAATGCGTGACCCACCATCTTTCTTGCAACCAGGCCTCGATCATCACAGCCGCTGGCATTCCGCTGTTCGCGCTGCTGCGGAGCAGCCATTTGCTCAGGATGTGCGCGGCGCGATTTGTGACCAGCTCGATGTTGCAGCATCTGCTGCTGAGGCTACTGCCCAGCAGGAGGCTTTAGCTGGTTGGAAGCAATGGTTGTTGGACAAAGTCGAAGCAGGTGCTAAGCGAGCCCATTCGGTCGTTCGAGGTTTTACACCATGGGCTCCCACTACGGCTTTGCCCTCCAATGGGGTGGTCGTGGCTGATCCGCAGGCTCTGCTCGATGCTCAGGCTACGCAGTACTCTCGGCTCTGGCATGCGCATCAGCAACCTCGGCAATATCGCGATTCGTTTCAGCCCCAACCTCCCCTTCCTCGTCTTTCTCCTGATGCTCTTCGCGCTTGCAGTCAAGTTTCCTAAAGGCACTGCAACTTCGATCGACGGTTTTCACATGCGTCACCTCGAGTCGCTGTCGGATGACTCGCTCGACCTCTTGTCCGTGATAAAGTTGCAATGGAGTCCAGCACTCTCATACCCACGCAGGCTAGCGCCACCATCATGTCTCTCATTGGCAAGCAAGCAGGGGGCTTCAGGCCTATTGGCCTCTTTTCCTCTCTTCCTCCATATATCGCTTGTGGGGCAAGGGGAGAAGGGGTCATGCTACGAGATGGGAGGATGAGCACCGACGGCCTAATTTGGCTGCAGGCAAGTTTACATCATCCACAGACGCGGCCCGGCGGCAATCCGTGAGAGGGGAGGCCGCGGTGCATGATGGCAAAGTCTCAGCAATCTTGCTGTGGGACCTCGTGTAGTGCTTTGAGTCGATTAACCCCGGCCCCCTCCTCCAACGATGCGCCCAACATGGCTTTGATATAACGGCTTCTCGGCTGGTCATAGCCATGCACTGCAATGCACGCTTCGCTACGATGGGCCAGCTGCTTCGTAGCCCTTTCTATGCCCAGCACGGCATTGTGGCAGGCTGCCCCATTTGCAACTACTATGGTAAGGATATTCATAATCGGTCCGCTCGACTCGGCTGGCCCCCCCAGGACTGCATCGCTCGAC